ATTCAGATACTGATGTCACTATTGGGCAAGGTAGCCTTTTGGCCATTGGAACAGATAGCTGGGCTGTCTTTAAAGACTTACCTTGCCCAGCTGGCATGGCTCAGTGGTTGAGTGTTGACCTATGAACCAGGACGTCACAGTTTGATTTCTGGTCAGGGCACATGCCCGGGTTGTGAGCTCGATCCCCAGTTGGGGGCATGCAGGAGGCAGTCAGTCAATGATTCTCTTTCATCATTGATGTTTCTCTCTCTTCCTCTCCCTTCCTCTCTGAAATCAATAAAAATATATTTAAACAACAACAAAAAAAGACTTACCTATTTGTGGGAAATATGGCCTATTAAGAGACAAGCTCCACCTAGGGGTGGACCCACCTAGCCTAAAAAATTGGGCTAGACAATTGAATACTGATGTGGAGATATTCTCAGACACTGCATGTGCAGTTAAAAGCAACAGGTGAACTGCTGTGACCCAAAGCCCTCCCCTTGGCAGAAGGGAAAGCGACAGTGTGGACCTGGCCATGGTCTATTACTGGAGAAGGGCCCTGGGTGGTCTTCCTATCCCCTTAGGGAAGTGGGTACGACTACAAATTACAGTTAGACCCCTTGATCCAGCCCTGGCAATGTAACTAGTGCCCTGAAAGACATAGTGAAGTACAGGACATACAAGCCCTTTCCCATGACCTCTTCCAAGATTGGTGGAACATGACATTGGGCAATCTTGAGTTTTGCTATTGGGGCAGGAATACTGGTCTTAACATGCTGCAGTTTATATTGTTGTTATGGGCTCTGTATTCAAAAAGCTGGCGCATGGGCCAAGGTATCCCAGGAAGACCATCTGGCATGAGGTGTGGAGTGTGGGGACCCTGATCAGAGTATGCCAGATGTTCAAGGCCTATCTGCCATATGCACGTGCAAAGGCAATGACACAGCAGTTTTACTGTATGCACTGTGCAGGTGCACCTTTACCTTATGTAATACTGATGTCACCATTTGGCAAGAAGCCTCTTTTGTCTGAACAACTATAAAAAGATGCCACTGACCAGCTGGTTACTGGACTGCTTTGTGTGACAGCTTTGTTAGTTGCTGCTTTGTGGGGCTGCTGTGACTGCAATGGCTGCTTGGTCTGCAATAGAGTCTCCCCCATATGCCTGCAGCTACTCATGTGTTCTTCCAATGCCCACATTTATGGAGATCCAATCCCTGGCAGAGGAACTTGGACCCAACAGGTTTCATATTAATTTTTGGAATATTTGTTCTAGTTCTGTGAAATACATCATTGGTATCTTGATAGGAATTGTGTTGAATCTGTAGATTGCTTAAGGTAGTATGGACATTTTAATTATATTCTTCCTATCCATGAACACAGTATACTATGCTTCCACTTATTTGTATCTTCTTCCATTTCTTTCTTCAGTGTATTGTAATTTTCTGAGTACAGACCTTTTATATCCTTGGTCAAATTTATTCCTAGGTATTTTTTAAGGCAATTCTGAATGGGATTTTTTTTATTTCCATTTTTGAGAGTTCATCATTGTGTATAAAAATGCAACTGATTTCTGGTTATTTATTTTATATCCAGCTACTTTACTGAATTCATTTATTAGTTCTAGTAGCTTTTCGGTGGAATCCTTAGGGTTCTCTATACACAGTATCATGTCATCTGCAAATAATTACAGTTTTACTTCTTCCTTTCCAATTTGGATACTTTTTATTTTTTCTTATTTTCTGAATACTGTTAGGTCTGATCAAATCATTGAATCGATACCTTTCCCCCTGGGAACTGACCTTTAGGCCACTTCACAACAGACATTCCACTTGCTTAGACCAATATCTCTCCCCTCTGGACTTTCCCAGAATCCAGACCTGCACAAAGAATTCTCCACCCAGAAAAAGCCCACCTAGAGTCCTTTAAAAAACATCTGACTCCCTGTCTTTGGGTACTGGTGCCATTTTGGGGCTCAGCTCATCTGGGTTTCCAGGTGACCTAATCCTATATAGTAAAGAGGTGATATGCAAATTGACCATCACACCCTCTCACAAGATGGCCGCCCCATGTGATCCAAGATGGCCACCACAAGATGACGGGCAGAGCAGGGCACTTATGGGCAATCAGGCTGGCAGGGGAGGGCAGTTGGGGGCAATCAGGCTGGCAGGGGAGCAGTTAGGTGTCAATCAGGCGGGCAGGGGAGTGGTTAGGGGGCAATCAGGCAGGCAGGCAGGCGAGCGGTTGGGAGACAGTGGTCCCGGATTGTGAGAGGGATGTCCGACTGCCAGTTTTGGCCCTATTCCTGTGGCTAAACCGGCAGTTGGACATCCCCCGAGGGGTCCAAGACTGGAGAGGGTGCAGGTTGGGCTGAGGGACACCCTCCCCCCCCCTCAGTGCACAAATTTCATGCACTGGGCCTCTAGTAAACTCATAATTCTTTACCCCTTTTGGCCTCATGCGTGCCTCCTTCAGCAACCTGAACAATTACTATGCCTAAGACTTCCAGTACTATCTATATATATAAAAAGTTAGCTACCACAATTACCAAAACAACTGACCACCTGTTGCTATGATGCCCACTGTGGTCAGTGAACTGGCCTGATCAGGGGGTGGGGCTGACTGGCCAACCTCATGTGGCCCTTCCCCCAGCCACCTGCCCCGGATCTGCCCACACCACCACGATAGGCCTGCAGCCATCTTCTGGCCTGCCCCTGATCGGACTCTCCCATCCTGATCCAGAGCGGGGCCACACAGAGCCTGGACCCTTCCTGGCAGCCCCGAGTCCCAGAGAGTAGAGGCACCTGACGGGCAGGGACAGGGATCACAGGCCTCTAGGGAGCACTGCAGAGACGGCAAGGAGTGGAGAGGGCCTGCGGAGGGGGAGGAGGTGAAGCCAGTGGACATCAGTCCAGAATCCAGCCCTTCCCCCCAGAGGCAGCGAGCCCTCAATCCAGAACCCCAGCCCAAATTGGAAGAGCCTGAAGGAGACTTCAGGAAGCTCTACACAGAGCTGTGCGTGAAGAACGAGAGACTTCGTGAGACCACGCTGTGGCTGGCGCAGCTCAAGGTGGAGCTGGAGTGTGCCACGCAAAGGCAGGAACGCTTAGCAGAGAGGCTCATAATTCTTAGCAGGAGGCTAGCCCTCCTGGAGCTGGAGAGATTTGAGCACAGGGCCCTGGAGTGCAAGGCCACTGAGCTGGAAGAGGAGCTGAAGGGCCTGTCCAATCTCCAGGCTGACAATCATCACCTCAAGAATGAGAACGCAGCCCTGATCCGTGTCATCAGCAAACTGTCCAAGTGACCCCGGAGGACTTGCCCCTGCACCAGCATTTATACAGCTGCTTCTGCCACACGCATCCCTGGTCCTGTGTGAACATGAGTGACAGGGCTGCAGGGAGTCTCTGAGAAGCCATAATCTCCCCTCAGGACCTAGTGACAGAAAAAGACATACAAGTCCAGGCAGTGCAGAGGGTCCCAAACAAAATGGACCTAAAGAGGCCCACACCAAGATACATCATGATTAAAATGGCAAAAGTTAAAAACAGAGAATCTTGCACAGTTGGAGTGGCTCAGTGTTTGAGTGTCGATCTATAAACCAGGAGGTCATAGTTCCATTCCTGGTCAGGGCACATGCCTGAGTTGCGGGCTCTATCCCTGATAGGGAGTGTGTAGGAGGCAGCCAATTAATGATTCTCTCTCATCATTGGTATTTCTATCTCTCTATCCCTTCCCCTTCCTCTCTGTAATCAATAAAAATATATTTAAAAACAAATACAGCCAGAGAATCTTAAAAAGCCACAAGAGAAAGGCAGTCAGTTACCTACAAGTGAACTCACATGAGACTGTCAGCTGATTTCTCAACAGAAACATTTCAGGCCAGAATGGATTTGCATGAAATATGCAAAGTGATGAAAAGCAAGGACCTACAACCAATCTTCTCTTCCCACCAGAACCTGGTGACCAATGATCTGATTTCAGTTTCTATAATTTTATCTTTTCTAGAATGTCATTTAAATGGAATCATATAATATGTAGTCTTTTGTGACAAGGTTCCCCACTTAGCATAATATTTTAAGATTTATCTATTATTGCATGTATTAGTAGTTTCTTCCTGTGTCAACTTGACTGGGCTGAATTGTGTTGTGTCTCCCAGAATTCTCTTCCTAGCATGTTTCCATTAGGGTGGGCCACAGAGTGGTCAGTGTGAAGCTGGGAGAGCAGGAGTGAGGCTGTAGCCATTTTTATGGAGGCACTTTTGGAGCTCACACATGTAACTTACTTGCTGGTTCAATTTGTTGGTGTGGGGCAGAATGGCCTATAATGTTCTACCTTTCCTTGGATCCTCTTTCAGCTTTTCGGATTCCTGGACCAAGTGTGTGTTTAGCAACTTGGCAAAGGGCAACTTTCCCCAAAGGATACCCATATCATCAAGATTAGGGACACTGAGAAGTGACCTAGGGTCACTCATGGGTTCCAGCTTGCCCTTGTTTCTTCCACTTTGCATGGATCTTCCCTTCCCAACCGCCTAGCCTGTGAACTCCAAGTTCTAGTACTAGATGCAAAAAACCACATGGAGAATGCTGAGCTGATTCCAATTGTGTAATGTTAATCCCTATAAACAAATCACTACACAAACATACTGAAAATGTCCTAGTTGTTTTCTTTCTCTGTTTAACTCTGAAATAATTCCCTTTTCTTATTGAATAGATTTCCATTGGATAGATGTACATTTTTTTTATTCATTCACTAGTTGATGGGAATTTTGTTGTTCTCAGTTGGCTTGACATTCACATATAGGTCTGTGTGTGAACATATTTCAAAATATGTATGTATAAAAATAGTAATAACTAGCCTCCCGCGGGGCGGAGAGGGGGGGCGCGCTCTGTGCACGGGGCCTTCCGCTCTTGGCGGCGTGGCCTAGATGACGTCACTATCCGTGACTGGAGCTGGAGGACAGAGGAGCCCTTCCCGTTGCCGGTGCCAGCCTGCCTCTGGGAATTATTTCGCTCAATGATTCACCTTTGCCGGTCTCATCCCGTGTCTGCTTTGTTAAATTCCATGATCCGGACTCAGCAGCTGTGGCACAGCATCTGACAAACACTGTATTCGTTGACAGAGCATTGATAGTCGTACCATATGCAGAAGGAGTTATTCCTGATGAGACTAAGGCTTTGTCTCTGTTGGCACCAGCTAATGCAGTGGCAGGTCTTCTGCCTGGTGGTGGACTCCTGCCTACTCCTAACGCACTTAACCAGATTGGCGCTGTTCCATTGGCTGCTTTGGGAGCTCCTACTCTTGATCCTGCCCTTGCTGCACTTGGGCTTCCTGGAGCAAACTTGAACTCTCAGTCTCTTGCTGCAGATCAGTTGCTGAAGCTTATGAGTACTGTTGATCCCAAGTTGAATCATGTAGCTGCTGGTCTTGTTTCACTAAGTCTGAAATCAGATACCTTCAGTAAAGAAATAGAGGAAGCCATGAAGAGAGTACGAGAAGCACAGTCCCTAATATCTGCTGCCATAGAACCAGATAAAAAAGAAGAAAAATGAAGGCACTCAAGATCAAGATCACGCTCTAGGAGGAGGAGGACTCCTTCATCTTCTAGACACAGGCGGTTAAGAAGCAGATCTAGAAGGAGGTCACATTCTAAGTCAAGGAGTAGGTGATCCAAAAGTCCCAGACGGAGAAGATCTCATTCCAGAGAGAGAGGTAGAAGGTCAAGGAGCACATCCAAAAACAGAGACAAAAAGAAAGAAGACAAAGAAAATAAACGTTCCAAAACACCACCAGAAAGTTATAGCACAGCTAGACGGACCAGAAGTGCAAGCAGAGAGAGACGACATCGACGAAGCAGGAGTGGCACAAGATCTAAAAAGCCCAGGTCTCCGAAAAGAAAATTGTCTCGCTCACCGTCCCCTAGGAGGCATAAAAAGGAGAAGAAGAAAGATAAAGACAAAGAAAGAGGCAGAGATGAATGAGAACGATCAACAAGCAAGAAGAAGAAAAATAAAGATAAAGAAAAGGATCGGGAAAGAAAATCGGAGAGTGATAAAGATGTAAAACAGGTTACATGGGATTATGATGAAGAAGAACAGGGGTATGACAGCGAGAAAGAGAAAAAAGAGGAGAAGAGACCAACAGAACCAGTTTCCCCCAAAACAAAAGAATGTTCTGTGGAAAAGGGAACTGGTGATCCCCTGAGAGAATCCAAAGTGAATGGTGATGATCATCATGACGAAGACATGGATATGAGTGACTGAATATGGCCTCCATGAGAATCCACCTGTATACATGCATCAGTTTCATTCCTTTGTGTGATATCTTCAGGCTGTATTTGTTCATCTCAAACCTAAGATGTATACAGCTCTGAGCTATAAATGGTTATAACGCTCCTGATATTGATATTATTTACATCCAAAAATTTTTAGAAAATACTATGTGGGTAACCAATTCTTGATGTGGTGAAATCTGATTGAGTAACCAAGCAGTTTGACTATTCTGGTGCTGCTTCATAACAGAAGTGAAAAGCTGCAATGATTGTTTATGTTGTATAATCTCCTTTATTAAGTAAGCTCACTTATAGTATTTCTAGAATTTGATTCATTGCCGTAATAGAGCCATGTAGGGAATGCACTGATTGCATGTTAATTGCAGCAGGAATATCCTCAATGTAATTAAAATCCTCCAACATGATGGATCTACTTATGGTCTTGTTTGTTGACATGACAAATTAACATTCTTATAGTTACATCTGGAAATAAGCATTTAAAATAGATAATCCTTTAAGCCTTGTGGCTGAAATTTTATGGCTTTTGTTTAACTTTGAAAGGTTATATATGCACTAACCTTTTTTGATGGCTGCTTAGGCTTTAATTACAGAAACAAGATTTGAAATGAAACTGTCTTTGGCAGTGAGTAAATAGCATACTTTGAAGTAGAGTTGTATACTTTTTCATAAGGTGTTTGGGAATTTTTTTCCCTGAAATAATTTATTTCACACCTACATCATTGAAAGCTATCTGCCTAACCTGAGTCCATCTGTAAAAGAGTTATCTCTTGTCCTAATTTTCAATTTTTCACTTTTATTAATTTGTTTTAATCTCAGTGTTGGAAAAAGGGGGTAGTGCATTTTAAATTGACCATATGCTTTTAAAGTGAGACAAATGTACTTGATAATGTACTTTTTATTTGATCTCAAGTTGTATAAAACCAATAAATTTGTGTTTCTGTTAAAAAATAGTAATAACTAAAAATGTTAAAGGTTGATTTTTCTGTCCATCCAAGCAACTGATTGGAGATGGAAGCCAATTAGGGCTGTATTAGAAGTTTAAATTGGGCAAAGATTAGACATCATTTTAGACAGGTGTTCTGCCCATACAGTATTTATTGAATTTGTTAATTATAGAGTTCTTGCACTGCCAAACCATTCCTAAGAATTCAAAGAAAGAAATGGTAAAATGGACAGCCTACTCATCCATCATACTGTATATTAAAACTTAATTCAGGTGCATTTTGATAATTTCACAATCTTTTAAACAGTTATAACAAGGGTGGGTTTTAAATCTCCTGCAGGTCCTCAGATTTTTAGTACAGTATGCCATTAAATAAGTTCCACATATCCACCTCAGTTCACTCCTCAACATACCCTCAACAAAATTTTGCTGGAAAAAAAATGCATACTTTTGAGGGAAAATATGTGGCTCAAGGTCCAAGAGATTTGTTAAGATTTCTGGTTCACAAATGAAGTCTTCAGTTTAACCAAGAATCCCTTGTTTCTCTCTCAATCATCCAGCCTTCCCTTAGCTTGCTCAATGACTGACCCAAACAAATCAGAAAGCAGGCATCCTGTCTGCTACCTCAAGAAACATCACCATTATTGCCCAGAAATGGTTCACAGGTCCTATCCAGAAATCCTGTTACTCACCTCACCACCACCACCCACCGTCCCAGGAGTCTGATTCCTGCATTGACACTTTTATCAAGAATAAACTCGCGACCAAACATGGCCGTGGCCGCGCAGCAGCTGCAGTGGCGTGGGTGACTCGGGGCAGCTGCCAGGCGACCTCCCTGAGGCTTTTCCATCTGAGTTGAAGGTCCCTCCATGGCCTGCGGATCCGCCGGGTGCGTCTCCAGAGCACACTGCAGCTCCTCTGCATTTCATCCATGCTGGAGTGGCCAGAACAAGGAGGCACTGGTCTGGGGTGAAAAGTGTCCCCCCAGGTGTAACAACCTGTAAACTTTAAAAACAAGCCACACAAAACAAACAAGACGGGCGAGAAGAAGCCAGAGCCTCTGGACTTGGTGAAGGATTTCCAGAAGTACCTGACCCAGCAGACCCACCACGTGAACATGATCTCGGGGTCAGTGGGCGGGGACAAGGAGGCAGAGGCTCTTCGGGGAGCTGGGACAGATGGCGATCAAAATGGACTTGACCACCATCTGTTGGTTTCCCTGGATGAAAACTCGGGAATGTTGGTAGACGGCTTCGAAAGGACCTTCGATGGGAAGCTCAAGTGTCGTTATTGCAACTATGCCAGCAAAGGGACAGCCCAGCTTATCGAACACATCAGAATCCACACAGGTGAAAAACCTCATAGATTTCACTTACGTCCATTTGCCTCTGCTTACGAGCGTCACCTGGAAGCCCATATGCGTTCCCATTCAGGAGAAAAACCATATAAATGTGAATTGTGTTCCTTCTGCTACAGCGATCGAAGTAACCTCTCCCATCATCGACGGCGCAAGCATAAGATGGTACCAATCAAAGGTGCGAGGTCTTTCTTAAGCAGCAAGAAAATGTGGGGCGTTTTACAGGAGAAAACCAGCAACCTGGGCTATAGCAGAAGAGCACTAATCAACTTACGTCCGCCTTCCATGGTGGTTCAGAAGCCAGACTACCTTAACGATTTCACCCATGAAATCCCCAACATCCAGACGGACTCGTATGAAAGTATGGCGAAAAGCACCTCAACTGGGGGCCTACGCAGGGACCCCCAAGAACTCCTGGTCGACAACCCTCTCAATCAGCTCTCCACTCTCGCAGGGCAGTTGTCCAGCCTGCCCCCTGAAAACCAGAACCCCGCATCCCCCGACGTAGTGCTCTGCCCGGACGAGAAGCCTTTCCTGATGCAGCAACCCTCGGCCCAGGCAGTGGTTTCTGCCGTGGCCGCAAGTATTCCTCAGAGCGCCTCCCCCACCAGCCCCGAGCCTCGGCCGCCCCAGAGCCAGAGGAACTACAGTCCCGTGGCAGATCCAAGCAGCGAACCCAGTGCCCACACGAGCACCCTGAGCATAGGAAACAGCCAGCCGAGCACGCCCGCTCCGACCCTGCCGGCCCAGGACCCGCAGCTCCTGCACCACTGCCAGCACTGTGACATGTACTTTGCCGACAACATCCACCATTCACATGGGATGTCATGGGTGTGAGAACCCTTTCCAGGGCAACATCTGCAGATGCAAATGTAAAAACAAGTGCGACTTCGCCTGTCATTTTGCAAGAGGGCAGCATAACCAGCACTGACCGGGGACAGTCACATTACTCTGTCCTTGGTTTTGACTTTATGCATTTTTTTTAGTTTTGTTTATCGTTGGTTTTTGTTGGTGGGGGGAGGACCCATCCCTAATATGCTAATTTAAAGTTTATACATTATATTTATAGAAAACAAAGTTGACAATAGAAACAAATGTTTTCCTTTTTTTTTCCATAAAAGTTTGGTCAGGGTCATTTATATATTAGAACAATTAGACACATTGGTGTCTGTTTTTTCCTTTTATTTAGACTTTGATGATTGAAGTGCAATCTTAATCTTACAGGTATTCATTTAAACTCCCACGCTTAAGGTCCATGTAGACTTCAAAGCTTGGTCCTAGTGGTGTTTCACTATATACACAGCTAGATGTCATCTCTGCCATATTTAAAAATGGTAGAATAAATCACTTTCTCACAAACTTTGTTACAACTTATTTCCATGTTTAGCAGAGGAATTGCCTTTAAAATTGCTCTTTAGATAGTTGAAATACTATCTAGTTCACTTAGTTTAAGTTGAATTGATAGTTTCAACTGATAGAAGTAAAACTATTTCAGTATATAGAAAACCTTTCTTTTTTTCCATAAGGGGGAATGTAAAACAGTTCTTTTAAAATTAAAGTTATAAAAATTTGAGAGGAATGTTCTGAAATGAAATGAAACGGGGCTTTACATTGAAAATGGATTTTAATATTTGAAAACCTGTTTGTTCAATCTCTTGCTTAAAAATGCATCAATTTTCCATTGGATTTGTTTTATTATACTTGTAGTTTATTTTTATTTTTTTTTTTTTATTTTTTTTTAATTTTTTTATTGCTTAAATTATTACAAAGAGTATTACATATGTCTCCTTTTTTTTTTTCCCCGCCCTTGACAATCCCCTGGCTTCCCCTACCCCCCAGTGTCTTATGTCCATTTGTTATGCTTATATGCATGCATACAAGTCCTTTGTGATCTCTTACCCCCCCCC